AACCCCCCCCCCCCCCCCCCCCCTCCCAAAGAACAAAAAAAAATGGAAAAAAAGAAAAACGAAAACAACCCACCACCTCTCACACTAAGTTGCCAAAAAAAATTCCCACCCTGAAGGATGAACAAGATCATCTTGTTATGCAAATATTAGTTATTGAAAGGTTTTGTTGTTAAGCATTGTTACTATCTCTAAACATGCTTTAGGCCATTTTTTTGTTTAAGTTGGCTAATATGGCTTGGATGGAATGCTTTAGGCATTAATCGTTGAAGTCCTTATGAGGAGTCATCTAGGGTACTTCTCCGCAGTCAATAAAGGGCTCTGCCTGCCNTTTAGGCATTAATCGTTGAAGTCCTTATGAGGAGTCATCTAGGGTACTTCTCCGCAGTCAATAAAGGGCTCTGCCTTATACAAGCCTTTGTGTTGACTAAACTAGGGTGGAATGACTAGAAAAGGTTTTCCTTATGACTCAATGTATAATGGAGAGAACACTTTTTTCAGCCAAAATTCCCAACTACAAAATTTTTTATTGGGACCAAACTGAATATTTTTTTAGCTGATCTCAAATAGCTGGGATAATGCTCAATGAGGATGAGTTGAAAGTGTATATATTTTGACCATGTTAATTGGTTTTTATTTTCACTGCCTCAATTTCACGATAATATAAATTAAATTACATGTCTACTGTGAAGGGCTTCCCTACTAATTCCTTATCATTTTCTAGCAGCAAATAGAGTGCTCAATTTAGTAGTGAGATTCTCATTGTCGACATCTAGCATTCTTGAGATTATTTTTAATGACACCTGCTGGCATGAGTGCTTCACTATCTTGAATGATGGGCATAATTTTGTATGGGGATGGAATTGACATTTTGTTTCCATTTCTAATTTCCTAATTCATGCTTCTATCTAAAACGCTGAATGTTATTATGGAGACTTTTGGAATTCGATTGCAAATATAAACTTCTTTTCATACGGGCAGGTAATCACCAGAGTCAATTACGGTCAGAGTGTCAGCATTAGTGGGCTTGCTGGTGCAGTGTCCTTGGCCGGATCTGGGGGAGGATTATGGTCAATTGAAGGTGGGAACTGGCAGATGGCATTCGGATTGATTAATCATTCGAATGTTGAATTGCACCTGCATGAAGAAATAGAATCAATCTCTTATGTTGGTAATCTTTATGAGCTCAACTCCACAAGAGGTAACAATTACAGATGTGAAGTCACGGTGGTTGCTACCCCTTTAGATGAGCTGAATATTCGCTTTATCCCTGCGATTTCAATTCCTGAAAGGAAATTACAGCACACACATGTGACTTTTGTTAGGGGTCTATTAAATCCCGTGAGTATCCTACCCTACACTTATGTCATTTTGTCCCTTGTTTGTTTTGTTCTTTTGCACCTTCTCTCTTCTAAATCTTGTTGATTTTGCTGTGGCCAAGGCATATTTTGGCTTGGATTCCGTATCAGATATACCAGAATTGGTGGGCACCATAGAGGCTCCTGACCTTCCATTCACAAGCATTTCAGTTCTCAAGCAACACAGTGCAAACGACATGACCTGCAAGATATTCTCTCATGAACCAATGGCAGATGCATTACTGGATCACATCTTTAGGTATTCATCCGAACTAGCCCATAATTGTCAGTTGCTCGAAGCAAGAGTTATGATCTACCATTTTGTCGGTTGCATTGCAATTTAATGTATTACTAATATTTTTCGGAAGGTAATGTGATGCACAGTCCATAGGATGCTCAAGAAGAGACAAATTCAAAGACATAAAGATCACCTCCCAAACACCATCTAGGACCACACCAGCCATATAACCGTGCAAGCTACTCCCAAAACCTACGCCTATCCCTCAGCCTATTGGCCCTGTATAGTCTAGACAGCCACCACTCCCCTCATCTCTCATTTTAAAGTGTACTAACAATGAAAATTCCCCCAACACCAACTCCAATACAGATACAAACCTAGCATCCCACATAATTGCAATTCCTTCCAATCTCCCACATGATGGCAAATAGATCCACTCCTTAAATTTACCCCCCCCCCCCCACACACACAAAAAAAAAAAAAAAAAAGATACCAGCCACTAATTTATTGCTTAAAAACTGGTTTTTTGGTCTATTGCAAGATTGCAATTTCTGGTTCAAATTTTATTCACATCTCCCTAATTGCTTTCCTTTTATTCCTACTACCTAGATTTCTCACCCTAGCTTTCTTAATTACCTTCCTTTCAACCAGTTTTTTACCCCTCTCTTTACCAGGGACAAAAGAAAGGTCCATATCCCTTAATTTACTCTACCCTTTCTCATCAATGAGAAACTCATTCTTTTTCCCCTCGACCCTGAGATCTTGAAGGAGGAACCCCTTCCATCCTCCTTAACTTGGCTCAGAGGAACATTAATCTCCATTGCCCCTATCTCTAAATACCTGGTTTCCAACATATCTTACCAGTGGAATTAAGGTTATCAAAACAACTATTTCCTTGCCATTCCCATCAGATGGTCCTTCAATTTGTGGTAATTCTGGACTCAAACCCAAATTTCCCAGAATCATTCCTCACCAGGTTTACAGGTTCAAAAGAAACTAGAGAATCAAAAGGAGACAATCCTAATAAACCCCTCTCCAGGACACATGATCCCCCTTTCATTCTTTAACTTCCCCCCTCCGACTCTGAATTCCCCAGTTTGAGATGATTTTTCAGGCCCAAGAACCCCATTCGGAGGTTTAAGGCACTTACCAAATAGTAGCTCTTGGTTAACTCAAACCTGAGCATTAATCGCATTGAATTCAACTTCCTTCTCATCAAACAGCTCCCCAGTTCGGAATCAACCTCCCTTGACCTCTCCTTAGAACTGTCACACCCTTGGATTGCCGAGGCATGCGACGTATAACACTCCGCTTTGCACAAGCATGCAATATAACTAACAGGGCACAACGCAACGTAATTAAGCCTGAACCCACATAGAACAACACATGCATTGCTAAAACCTTGAACTAATGTACATTAAAAACAAGTAACAGAACTACTCAGTCAGGGATTATGTTACACATCACAACGTACATACACCTTATTACAAAATATACATGATTTACAACATTACAACATTAAGTAAAAGAAACACTATGACGGGCAGTTTGACTATACACCGTACCCATGTCCCCGGCTAATATGAAAGAGGAAAATAATGTAGGGTGAGCATCAATAGTTCGGTAAGATAGTTTAATTCCAAACATGTGAGTCTGAAAATAAGTAATTTACCATGATTAGGCATCAATGAAACAGTCATTTGATACATACATAGCTAAAACATCGTTATTTCATGTGAAACAATAACTGTTATGCAAAACAGTATGTAAAAAGAGTTTAGAAACATGGATACAGTGCCACACCGGAGAACAATCAACGTAATAGACCACTTAGTGTCCAACGAGCCCTATGATCCAACCTTTTAGAGGACTTACTTCCTAAGAAAGATTTGCTCCTTAATCACAATTTGGCACCAAAGTCCGAAGACCAACTGGGCCACACAGACTTTTACGAACTCAATGAAACCTTGTACGATCTCAAATTGGAACGTAAATCCTCAGCCGCTCGATTCCAATTACATTTCATTCAAAAATGGATTAATTGACCCCAAATTAGCTATACCTAGGTCCCTTTTCAAAAGTTAAACAAGGTTTTCAAGAGATCAAATTTTCAAGTTTTACAAACCCTAGCCAACTATGGTTCTCCCTCCACAGACCACGACAAAGCTTCAAATCACTTCTAAACCACCCCAAACCCACCCATGGCCATTAATTTGAAAAAACACAAGTACAAGACCCATTTGAAAAATTGAAACCCACCTACACCTCTAGATTCAAATTTGTGCACACACACAATACCAAATCAAAATCCAAGCTTACCACCGAATTGGGGGGTTTGAAAGTCGAAACAAAGCTTTTGATGTTAGTCTTGGACCTCGAATCACCTTTTTAAAAAAAACCTGAAAATTTGTTCTTCCTTCTCTCTTTCTCTCTCTTCTAGTCTTCTTTCTATTTCTCTTTCCTCTAGGTGATTTTAGGACTTCTAAAACACAAATATTGTATTTGTCTCAGCCTTTTGCACACCCCTCACCCTTGCTCATGGCCTTCACATAGCCAAAACCACCGAGGAGTTGCCACCTCTTACTTCCTCTATGTGAGGCACGTGGGAGGGGCAATTTTGTAATTATTCAAATTTCAAAAATTTTTCATTTTTTATTTAAAAATAAATATACATTATTTAATTAAATTTTAACACTCCAATTGCGTCCGACGACCCCTTTAACTCCTTCGATTAGCTCCCACACTTTTTGTTTGGATCCCCTAACTGTTGGATCACTTTTTCACTTAGGTATCCGAATCGTCGTTCCTAAAAGTTTTATTTGATGCAAATAATACTTTTTCTCAAGTCAGTAAACTAGAATACAAGAATATATATAGCCAAAAAAATCAGAAAAACCCTAGACTGCCTAAAAAANCCGAATCGTCGTTCCTAAAAGTTTTATTTGATGCAAATAATACTTTTTCTCAAGTCAATAAACTAGAATACAAGAATATATATAGCCAAAAAAATCAGAAAAACCCTAGACTGCCTAAAAAACAAATATACCTCTATTACAAAACTTATATACACGCTCACAGTTTTGACTTGATTTCTCTCACCTTTTCTCTCAAAACTTCACCTTGATATTAAACCCGAAACACCACTCTCACACCATTCACAAACTTCGTGCCCCCGAGTGATCGAGCTCGATTCCCAAGACCGACTCTGATGACCTCGTTCGCCACCAGAACTCTCCATTTCCATTCCTTTAGGATCATCGAGTGCTTCTTCATACTCCAAGAAAAGGCCCACTTCAAATCGAACCGCATTTGAATTAAAAAGGCTTTCTTCTAAGTCATCACCCCTCAAGTCCCTCTAGAGAAGATCATCGAGAGTTTCCTGTTGATCAATTCTGTTGAAATTCCTTTCATCGATGGGATCATAAATCAATCACTTCATGTGTCTTTTCTCCAAATTCCATAACAAGTTTCTATTGAAATCTTCTTATCTAGAGTTGTTCCTTGTCAATCTCTTCAAGTTTTTTTTGAACGAATTGCCATCAACCCTCTTTGCAGAAGACTTCGAAGAAGCCTTAATCTCAACAGCTCTCTCGACTAAATTTCCATCAACCCATTCCATTCGTTCTTTTTAATCAAAGTAGCTGGGCCAATGTTATTTAGACCTTTACATAAAAGGACTTTTTGTTAAAATGGAAGCACATGACCATTTTATTGGGTATTGGGTCAGCTTGGTCCAAATCTTTCAAGCAGTAGCAGAATTTCCCAACCTTTTATGTTTAGCAAAGCCCATATCCACTGCTTGAGCTTGGTTCGATGAAACTTTCATCAATGCCACTAGCCTCATTTAATCTCGCATTATCCTTGTAAATGACAGATTTAAAATTTGAATCCTTGATTATCGCACGTTTATCTCAAGCTTTGTCTGTATTTAATACAAACCCATCTCTATTAACTTGAGTAACGTTAAGTTGACCCATTTGTTTGGAAAAAGGACCCATCGGATCCAAATACCCACTAGTTTAGCGCTGCCCCATGCTACCACCATAGCCCTTCTGCCACCTTATTTTCCTTTACAACCCTATCGTCTTCAACCTTTGGATCAATGCAGCAAAGTTGCGTGCTACACTCCTTAACTAGATATTCACGACCACTAAAACTAGGAGTGTGTAAATTTTTGCTTACCCGCAATTTTCTACCCTACCCGATCCTACCTGACCCTATTGAATGGCTAGCTGAAAAAATCGGATAGAAATACGGAATGTTTATTAATTTTTGTATTCCTATCTTACCTTACTCGCATTAATTTATATATATATAAAGAAAAATTTATCTCAGGATTGCCCAGCTTATTTGTTGAAAAAATAAGAATTCGTTTAAAGCAAAAACATGGAGAATTTAAAATCCCTTATGAAAATTATACTTATGGGGAACTAATTTTTGAATGTATTTTAGAAGGATTAGCTCTTTGTAATGATTTAAATCTTAAAGTTCAACTTAAGAGACAAAGACTAACAGGCAAAAAAGAACTTGGAGAATTCTGTAATCAATTTGCTTATAATCTTGATATTCCAAAAGATAGGTTTCTAGTAAAAGAAAACCTTACACTAAGCCTTATAAAAAAGGTAGAAAAGTCTATAAAAAGAATTATACTAAGGAACAAGAAAAGATTAATAAACCCACTAAAAAATTTAAAGATAAAAAGCCTATTCTTAAATTTTTTAAATGTGGAAAGGAGGGCCATATTGCCTCAAAATGTTTAACTAAATAACAGATAAATAAATTAATTAATGATGAAGACCTTAAAGAATTTTTTTTAAAAATAATATTAAACTCAGAAAGTGAATTAGAAGACTCTTCTGATAATTTATTTTCTGAAGATTATGATATTAATGAAATTAATAATTCTTCTTCTTCTGATAAAGAAATGTTTGAACAAGATAAAACTTTCTCTTCACATTGTAAAGCAGAAAATGATTATTACAAAGCTATTTTAGCTATGAATGGATTAAGTATAAATACTTTGACTAAGTCACAAACATTTATTCATGATTTTATAGATAAAATCCAAGATCCAGATTCTAAAAAAAAAAGCTATTGAACAATATT